CACGTAGCGGGTCTTCCGGTCCTTCAGCAGCAAAATGTATAGGCTGCCATCCTTGGCAGCTACCCGAAACGGCCCACAAAGGTCGATGTGCATGACAGCCAGGGCGTCGTCGGCGTCCGAGCCCTTGTCGGGGAAGGTGTGCTGTTGGGTGCAAATTCACATTGCACGACATCCTACCGTCTGTTTGTACGAGCATGCGTGTGCGAATGCATTTGGGTGTGAATGGAATGTTCGTGTGTTTGTTTGTTTTCACAATTTTCGCTTGATGCATTTGCAGGTACTCGCGCAATGTGCGCTTCGGCACAACATTGTACGCGCTATGAACAGTGCAAGCAGAAAGGACGAGCTCGCAAAGGAACCCAAGATGGAAGCTTTGCAGTTCGGTTTAATTGAGTGCGCAGATTCAGTTCTATCCAACTCGAACTTGTACTGTTTTGTTTGGTTGACTATAGTGTAGCAGGGCAGGCACTATAGGGGTACAATTAAGGTGAAGGTTGGATGTTGTTTGTCTGTATCTGCATGCTACAGGGCCAGGGGAAACCAGCGGAACTAGCATTTGGCTGGTTGGGCAAAGACAAAACAGGTTCTGTTTTTAGGACCTGAACCTGGTTGTTGTTTTCCCAGGTTGGAAAAACAGAACCAGAGGTTGTTTACCAACCTACCACCTGCTGTTTTGTCCAGCCAGGTTGGTTCTGTTGCTTGGAATTATTTGGGATCATCCCTGGTTGTTCCCAGGTTGATTCCCAAGGTCCTTGCTAGATAGAACTATATATTCCTTCTCTGTTTGTACCTGAATATATTAAAATTGATTCAAGCGAATTCCTTCCTTGCTGGAATTTCGTATCCACGCGGTTCGACGGCAGAATGCTACCGAGTCAACGCTAGTACGCTAGCACTTCAACGCTAGGCCAACGCTGTCCATTTCGTAACTCTGCAATGGCAGAACTTTTCGCGAGGCAACTTGGCTCTTTTGAAAGCTCTTAGGGTGAGCTTCGATATAGCGAGTTCTCAGCTTAATCCGATCGACGGTCTGCACTGCACGCTGCGCGACGTTCAAGGTACTCTTGCTGTTTTGACTAAGTCCCTCTTGATCCCTCTCTCTACAAACTCGGACCCGAGGATAGGGGCTGGTCTTGTACCAAGCACCCAGGGACCCTTGGAGGTGACCCCGAGGAGAGGTTTCAAGTTGGATAACGTCTTAATAGCCTGAGTTTATTAGGCCCTTTACACAAACATGTGCTGCGCCAGCTTCCCGCCGACGCACGAGACACATGGTGAGTCGGCGCCAGATACTGACTTGAGGTCCAGCCCAGTGGCGACCTCGTGCTTCACCAAGCTCCGGATGGTGTCCATGGCGACGTGCGTGAGCTTCGCATGTAGTCCGTCCGGCGTCGACTTCGTCGCCGAGACTATCGCCCGCAGGGCCACCACCTCTATCGTGGGCGACGTCGACTTTGCCGAGCAAGGGCGCAGGTCAGTGTAGAGGACCCGGCCGGTGTAGGACACCCGGCCAAGGACGTCCCCTGCTGCCGAGACGAGAAGCATCTCGGTACCGTCTTCCTGCAGCCTCACACCATTCTCCTTTAACTGGCCAGCTGTCAGCAGGTTCGCGTGCACTCCCAGGACGTAGAGCACGTCGGGGATCAGCACTTGCTTCCCGGCCTTTCCTTGCAGGGCGATGGTCCCGCGGCCTTGGACGGTCTGCAGCGCCCCATTGAAGCCGCGCACTTCCTTGACGTCGCCGTTTGGCTGCAGGTCGACGAAGACCTCCTTCGTCCCCATCAGGTGATGCGAGCAGCCGCTGTCAAGCAGGACCACCGCCGGGTTCACCTGCACGGCCGCCACCATCGCCTGGAAGTCCTCGCCGGCCTCTGGCGCCAGCGAGACAGTCAACTCCACGACGCCGACCAGCGAGCACGACGCCTCCATGTCGTCTCGCCCTTGGCCGCCAGTAGAGGAGTCGGCGTCTTTTGCCGAGGTCGACTTGGTCGACTACTTCTCCTTGCGCAGCTTGCTCTCGTGGCGATGGCAACGCCAGGCCAATCTCCCTCAGCCTCCCTCGGTGTCATCATCATCGAAGTCGCTGCGGTTGGGGCACTTGAACCAGAGGTGGTCAGGGTCACCGCAAAGCCAGCACTCCCGACGTCGACTTCCTCCTCCACGACCGCAGTCCCTTGCCGACTTCTTGTCACCGTCCTTCGCCGGCTTCCCACCACCGCCTCCATTGCCGCCATACTGTCATTGCTGTCCCGGTCGACATCCTTAATTCGCCGGGGCGGCATAGTTCACCTGCGGCAGGAGCTCCATGGACCGCTCGGCTTCCTGCATCGCCTCGTCCCTGAGGATATACGAGGTTAGGGAGTCCTTGTTGAGCGTCGCCCACGTGCTCGGCACCACCGACATCCGCTTCATCAAGTTGTAGCTGCTTGGGAGCCCCTTCAGGACGTGGGTGATGTACAACGCCGTCGATTACTGCACGCCGGACATCCTCATGGTGGCGAGAAGTCGCCAAGCCCGGTTGCAGTAGTCGGTCGCAGTCTCCTGGTCGCCCATCCGCAGATGCGTCATCTGCTCCTTGAGCTGGCCGATGTACAGGTCGTCGGTGACCTTGTACGTCGACTCGATGAAGTGCCATGCCTGGTGGCCGACGTCCATGTAGTCCCTACACGGCTTCAGAGCGATCTGCACACTGGGCGAGCAGCATCGTGAGATGACCGTGAAGGTCAACAGCTGTACAACGCAAAACTCCACACGCAGGTCGGGGTGGTTCTCCGACGGCGTCGCCATGGTGCCGGAGGCGAAGCCCATCAGCCCCGCCACCTCCATATAAGGCTCAATTAATTCCTTCCACGTGAGAAGGTCAGGTTGACCGACCAGCAGGGGGGTTACCGAGATTCTGTCCGGCGTAAACTTGAAGTAGCCGTAGCTCGGTGCTATCCCTTCCGGTGTCACGTGAGTCGCCAACGACGGTGTCAATCTGCTTCGTCGACCTCCAACATCGCCTTGCGAGGACCCTGCAGCCGCCGACGACCGCATCCCCCGCGCCTGAACGCCGCCGAATTCATCAGCATGAATCACACCTCGATGCCTCGACGTGCCTCCCGCACTGCTGCTGACTTGATCACCGGCGTTAACGCCCACGTCGACGCCGCCCTCGTCGTTCATCGGTCGAGGAGAAGCAGGTCGAGAAGGGTGCTCCGTCGCCCACACGGCGCGGATGCCAGCCTCGTCAACAGCCTAGGGGATGTCCTCGTACTCACGCACCTCATGGCGTCTCCTCGAATCCTCCAGCCGTGCCTCTAAGGTGTCTGCAACACCAGTGTCACCTATGCCAACCATGGTGGTGACTAACGCACAACTGCCGGCCTACGAACAACTTAGGTAAGTGGGACTAAGTCGACTAGATTGAAAACTACGTCGTGGTGCTGTCCACGCTCACATAACCATGCGGAGATAACTACTACAGCAGGAGAATGACTACGGGGTAGGCACGGGGTAGGAGTGATTGTAGCGTTTGTTCACTTGTGCTCTCTCTAGTTGCGCATTCACAGGGAAAGTTGGCAAGAGTTTCACTAGCAAAGTTTACAACAATGGTTGGCAATAGCAAAGCAACACTGTCTACATCAGGAGCTAGCATGCAAGCAGGTTGACTGCCAGCACAGCACGGTCGACCGCGTTCCAGCACGACATGGTCGACCGCTCTCCAGCAGTGCAATGTCGCGATCTGCCAACGCGGCAAGTCGACGGCGTGCCAACGCTTTCAGCAAGGCGGCTGCACAGCATTGCACCCGCAGGACAGTAGCGCACCCGCTTTGTAGGTGCTCGTAGTTGATTTGCGTACTGTGCCTCGTCACCTGCACAGCACAGACGCCAATTCAACCACATGCCCATGTCTACACCTGATCCTCCAGGTCGACCTCGGGATACCACCACCGAGGTCGGCTTCGCCAAAACCACATGGGCGACGGTCGCGCACCTTCGCAGAACTTCGTTGCCCGATAACTTGGTCGACATGGAAACCACCAGGTCGGCGTCGACTTCGTTGGGGAAAGTCAATCAGAAGTTGTACGTGCTCGTCGACTGCCCAAGTCGACGACCACCTGCCGACTTCACCAAGTCGGCAACTCCCCAGGTCGGCGCCCCCCAAGTCGGCGCCACTCCTCTTTGTGTCCGTCGACCACCCACGTCAATAACCACCATCTGTCGACTTCACCAAGTCGACCACACCCTTGGTCGACCAACTCCAGGTCGACCAGCCTTGCTGTCAGCCAACCACACCTAGTCGGCTTCACCAGGTCGGCGTCACCAAGTCGACGACCTGTCAGGTCGACCTCCTAAGTCGACCTCCTGAAGTCGGTGCCCTCCCAAGTCGGCGCCCACTGCTGCAGGTTGGCTGCACCTCCCAAACACCCGACCATGAAGTCGGCTCCGCCCAAGCGAGGACAGGGCCAACACACAACTCCCGTTGACATCGATGAGGAGGTCGACGACAGTGCCCAAGTCAGCGGCGGCAAGGGCACGAGGAAGATAGGAGTGATCAAGAGAGCCGTCGGCGGTGAGGTCAGCGGGAATTAGGCACGAGGGCTGCAGTCATCGACGGCAGCGGGATCCTCGCAAGGCGATGTCGGTGGATGTTGAAGCAACGTGACGCCGGCGTCGGCGACCCACATGACAACAGGTGAGATAGTGCCGACTTACGGCTACTTCAAGTTCTCGCCGGACAAGATCGCCGTCCCCGTTCCGCTGGTCGGACGTCACGACCTCATAACGTGGAAGGAGTCCATCGAGCCCCTGCTAGAGATGGCCGGCCTGATGTGCTTCGCAGACGGCTCCGTGGAGACGCCGCCTGCGAATACATGCCGAGCTGCTTCCGGAGTTTCGCGCCGTTCGGCTGCTAACCTTCACGGTTATCTCGCGGTGCTGCTCACCGCTTGTGCAAATCGGCCTAAAGTCGTGCCGAAGTCGATTGTGTTGGAATTCCATATGGACAAGAGGTCCATATGGCCACATTCGCTGCGCATGTGTTGAAGGGGCCGTTGCCGGAGTATGGATTTCTTCACCGCAAGCTCAACATTTCCAGCTGGGAGATGACGGTTGAACGTGAATGCAGCGAGGTGTTGATGGAGGAGCAGACCCTCTCCATCGAGCATAGGTACAAGCAGATCACCAGCCATGCATCTGCTTTCTTGGGTGCTATGAACACAATTGTGGTTGCAATAGGGGTCAATGGCAAGGGAGGGCAAGGAGGAAAGGTTCGGACGGACAAGAAGAAGTATGACAAGCGGGAGAAGAAGTGAGGCTCCTTCAAGGGGCGCTGCTACAACTGCAATGACGGGGGGCACATGGCTGCCAAGTGCCCCAGCAAGGAGGATACAACGCCCGCGGCAGCCGCGAATGTAGCTGAAGGAGACGGGAAGGGCATGGCGCTCACCGTCGCGTGTTCGGCTGCAAAGTTGCTGGCCGACAACAAGGACTTGTGGTTCCTTGACTCGGGATGCTCCCAACACATGACTGGCCGCAAGGAGTGGTTCACGGTGATCCGTGACCCATCTGCAACGAAATCCGTCAAAAGGGTTTGTCGGTTCTGCTGGGTGCAAATTCACATTGCATGACGTCCTGCTGTCTGTTTGTACGAGTATGCGTGTGCGAATGCATTTGGGTGTGAATGGAATGTTCGTGTGTTTGTTTGCTTTCGCAATTTTCGCTTGATGCATTTGCAGGTACGCGCACAATGTGCGCTGCGGCACAACATTGTACGTGCTATGAACAGTGCAAGCAGAAAGGACGAGCTCGCAAAGGAACCCAAGATGGAAGCTTTGCGGTTCGGTTGAATCGATTGCGCAGATTCAGTTCTATCCAACTCGAAATTGTATTGTTTTGTTTGGTTGATTATAGTCTAGCACGGCAGGCACTATAGGGGTACAATTTAGGTGAAGGTTGGATGTTGTTTGTCTGTATCTGCATGCTACAGGGCCAGGGGAAACCAGCGGAACCAGCATTTGGCTGGTTGGGCAAAGACAAAACAGGTTCTGTTTCTAGAACCTGAACCTGGTTGTAGTTTTCCCAGGTTGTAAAAACAGAACCAGAGGCTATTTTGTCCAGCCAAGTTGGTTCTGTTGCTTGGAATTATTTGGGATCATCCTTGGTTGTTCTTGGGTTGATTCCCAAGATCCTTGCTAGCTAGAACTATTTATGCCTTCTCTGTTTGTACCTAGATATAGTCAATTTGATTCGAGCGAATTCCTTCCTTGCTGGAATTGCGTTTCTACGCGGTTCAACGACGGAATGCTACCCGAGTCAACGCTAGTACGCTATCACTCCAATGCTAGGCAAACGCTGTCCGAACCATAACTTTGTAATGGCATAACTTTTCGAGAGGCAACTTGGCTTATTTTAAAGCTATTGGAACGAGCTCCGATATAGCAAATACTCAGCTTAATCCGATTGACGGTCTGCACGATATGCTGCGCAACGTTCAAGGTGCTCTTGCTATTTTGGCTAAGTCATTCTTGGTCCCTCTCTCTACAAACTCGGCCCCGAGGATAGGGGCTGGTCTTGTACCAGGCACCCAAGGACCCTTGGAGGTGTTAAGTTTGATTACGTCTTAATAACTTGAGTTTATTAGGCCCTTACACCAACAGGTTCTATGCAGGAAGTCGCCGGTGTTGGCAAGGTTTTGCTGGAGGGCAATACCGGCTTGCGTGGCATGCTGTCCTCTTTGTGCCAGGAATGAAGGCCAACTTGGTCTCCCCTGGGCAGCTCACGGACAAAGGAGCAAATTTGCAAACCGAAGGTGTCACCCGCATCATCGCATCGGGAGGACAAGTGGCTGCAACGGTACGCTACCGCCATCGTCTTCTCTGCCTTGACCTGAAACTGTGGCCAGCAAGCAACAGCACAACGGTTGCAGTGGCAAGCAACGGCAAGGTGGCTGCATCGGCTTGCAACGGCATGATAGCTGGAGCGGCATGCAACGGCATGATGGCTGCAGCGGCTTGCACCGGTACGACGGCTGGAGCGGCATGCAATGGCAAGGTGGCTGCAGCGGCATGCAACGGCACGGCGGCTGAAGCGGCATGTAACGGCACGGTGGCTGCGGTGACATGCAATGGCATGACTAAGGCAATTGATGACGGATCGGCCAGCCTCAAGACGTATGCGGTGGGCTCTAAGGCAACACCCAACCTGTGGCACGCTCGCCTTGGACACGTCCACTTCGATGCGGTGAAGCGGACAGCCACGAGCGGTGGCGTGTTAGGCATGGACCTGGAGAAAGGAGGTGAGGATATGCCGTGAAGCTAAACTCACTCGCGAATCATTTCCGCTGTACGACGAGCAAGAGGAGCAGGTTCTTGGGCTGGTCCATACTGATGTGTGCGGTCCATTTCAGACCCCAGCCATGGATGGAAGCAGGTACTACATTTTGTTCGTGGACCACGCCTCACGTTACACCTGGGGGAAGACGTTGAAGCTGAAGAGTGACGCGCTTGCTGCCTTCAAGGAATGGCTTCCCGAAGCTGAACGCCAAACCGGGATGGCGCTGAAGGTGTTGCGGCCGGACCGGGGAGGGGAGTTTATGTCGAATGAGTTTTTGTTGCTGCTGAAGCAACGAGGAATCTGGCGTCAATTTTCCTGCCCCTCGACCCCCCAGCAGAATGGTGTGGCTGAACGCCGCAACCGTACGGTAACCAAGGGCATGCGTGTGATGTTGGGGCACATGGGGGTGAAACACACTGGTGGCACTTTGCTTTTCACCAGTCCACCCTGCCCCATGGCATGACCCCTCATTTGGTGGTGTTCAAAGTCAAGGCCGATGTGTCCATGGTCCGTGTGTTTGGGTGCTTGGTGCAATTCCTCATTCCTGAGCACAAGCACGAGGGGAACCTTGCAAGCAACACTCTTTGGGGCATGCACTTGGGCATGAGCATGGAAAGCAAGGAATGGCGTGTGGTGGATGTTGAGTCAAAGCGCATGGTCATCACCCGGGATGCACGTTTTTATGAAGACATGTCAGAAGAAGCTGCGGCCTAATGGCACTGTGCAGAATTACAAGGCCAGACTCGTGGCAAAGGGCTTAAGCCAGCGCTTCGGCATCGACTACAATGACACCTACGCTCCTGTTGGCAGCTACACCACCGTTTGCGTGCTCCTCTCAATCGCAGTAGCTATGGACCTGGATTTGCTGCAGCTTGATGTGAAGAATGCATTTCTTCACAGCACCATCGACCACGAGATCTACATGCAGCAGCCACCCTACTTCACCGACCAGAGAAGCAATGTGTGCCTCTTGCAGAAGAGCCTTTACAGGCTAAAGCAAAGTCCCCTTCAGTGGTACAAGGAGCTGGACAAGGTGCTTCCTGTGGAAGGGTACAAGAAGAGCCTTGTGGACCAGGCCCTATACTACAAGGATGGAGAAAGCGGGAAGTGCGTGTGGCTGCTAATCCATGTGGATGACCTGCTAGCGGCAAGTGAAGACAAGCAGCTGCTGTATGACCTGAAGGAGCTGCTAACCAATGCGTTTCAGCTCCATAAGGTGGAGCCAGTGGAGTGCTACCTGGGGCTGCACATTGTGTGCAACCACCCCAACAAGACACTCCTCCCGCACCATAATGCATACGTGGCGAAGGTGCAGCAGCGGTTCTTCAAGGGGGCGCCACCAAAGAAGCAGCCGATCACTCCTCTCTCATCCGCCAGCTTTACCAAGCAGGATGCCGGGCAGTTTGCCAACCATGCCATGACCGAGTACTTGTCAATGCTTTGCATGGTGCAGTTTGCAGCCATGTCAACACGTCCTGACCTCTTTTTTGCGTGTAGCCGCCTTGCAGCAGGTGCACACCTAAGGACGGATACGCATTGGCATGAGCTCTTCTGCATACTCTCTTTCTGGCCTGCCTTACCGGACATGGGGCTGCTATTCAAGGGAGGACCAGAGAGTTTGACCCTCGTGGGTGTTGGGTGCAAATTCACATTACACGACATCCTGCCATCTGTTTGTACGAGTATGTGTGTGCGAATGCATTTGGGTGTGAATGGAATGTTCGTGCGTTTATTTGCTTTTGCAATTTTCGCTTGAAGCATTTGGAGGTGCTCACGCAATGTGCGATTCGGAACTGTTAGAGACTAAGGACGGAATCTAGGAAGATTAAGGGCCGAGATATCTCAAAATCGTCAACTTCAATTCTGGACAGAATTGTCGACCTCACAAGAAACGTCGTCGACGATTAACGCACAATTAAAATTGACCTTGAGTATGTTGTAGCCCTTGACCGTGGCTATCTTTCCCAATTTGAAAACTATCAAAATATGGAGTATAACTCGAGTTATGAATTTCGGCGCACTAGGGGGTATGCTGCCACAGAAAACGTAACTCAATCACAATTATCTCGCAAGTTCACACAAGAAAGTTGGAGTAGCAATTGAACCAGGTAGGAGGGGATGAGGAGGACGAGAGGGAAGGTCCCAAGGGAGTCCCCAACCAAGGAAACCCCATATCACACAATTCCCCTCTCTATAGGCACCCCAACTTTGACATTTGTCACTTTCCCAACTCATGCCATCCACCTCACCCAACTTAGCCACACTTGCCAACCTGGTTGGCTTCTCCCAACCACTTGGCATCATCTACAGTGATGGTGACGAGTTTCCCAACCCCCAAAAGTCTGTACCCCATATTGAGTAAACCCGCAAATTCCCATAGTAGCCGCATCTCAATCAAAACTTCGAACGATCATATCTTTCTCGTTCTTGCTCCGATCAAGGCGATTCTCGGTTCGTCGGGAAGCTCTTGAGCAGAGGAGTCACTTCAGATATCTGATGAAGCCAAATAAGATTCACAAACACTCAGAAAATCCAAACAACACCAAACACAAATTCTTGCACACGCTCACACCACGCATGCAACACACAAACATATGATGGGGGGCAGATAGACGTGAATGCAAATGATAGCATCACATAACAGGAACAACATTGTACGCACTATGAACACTGCAAGCTGAAAGGACGAGCTTGCAAAGGAACCCAAGATGGAAGCTTTGCAGTTCGGTTGAATTGAATGCACAGATTCAATTATATCCAACTCGAAATTGTACTGTTTTGTTTGGTTGACTATAGTGTACCAGGGCAGGCACTATAGGGGTAAAATGTTGGTGAATTTTGGATGTTGTTTGTCTATATCTGCATGCTACAAGGCCAGGGGAAACCAGCGGAACCAGCATTTGGCTGGTTGGGCAAAGACAAAACAGATTCTGTTTTTAGAACTTGAACCTGATTGTTGTTTTCCCAGGTTGGAAAAAAAGAACCAAAGGTTGTTTACCAACCTACCACCTGCTGTTTTGTCCAGCTAGGTTAGTTGTGTTGCTTGGAATTCTTTGGGATCATCCTTGGTTGTTCCTTTTCGCGGGGCAACTTGGCTTATTTTAAAGATTTTGGAACAAGCTTCGATATAGCAAATTCTTAGCTTAATCCGATCGACGGTCTGCACGGATCGCTGCGCGACGCACAAGGTATTCTCATTATTCTGGCTAATACATTCTTGGTCCCTCTCTCTACAAACCCGGACCCGAGGATAGGGGCTGGTCTTGTACCAGGTGTCAGGGGGGAGGCCGGAAGTGTGAACGACTGGAGAATGCCCTCCCCACGACAAAAGTCCCGCAAGAGGTCGGGGGAGAACTCACCACCTCTGTCAGAGTGCAGACACTGGACAGGAAGGTCCAAGCGGAACTGAACACGGAGCTGGAGACGGACTGCGCGGATCCAAGGGATCAAGACATCAAGGACCTCACCCATGCTGCGCAAGGGGAAGACCGTGGTGTAGCGCATGTAGTCTGTCAAAAGAAAGAACGAGAATGTTATGCGACGAGTAGTGCGAACAGGCGAAATAGGACGAGACGCAAGCTCACGACGCTCTGTAAGACCGCCGCCCTGCTCAGTGTAAGGAGAAGGAGAAGGCAGTGGGGAGGCTGGCTGTACCGGCGGCTGCAACTGGTCAGGCGGTGGACACAGTAGGGGAGGAGTAAGGCTAGTAGAAGATGGGACACCAAGAACCCGCTGAAGTAGGTGAACAAAGAACGAGCGCGGCCGCACAGTGCCTCCAGCACCAGTACCACCAGCACCTCCAGCTCCAGGGTCAACAACTCCAGCTCCTCGAGCTCCAGCGCCTCCCGCACCAGTGCCTCCAGCTCCCGCTCCTCCAGCTCCAGCGCCACCAGCGCTAGTGCCTCCAGCTCTAGCTCCTCCAGCTCCAGCGGCTCCCGCGCCAGTGCCTCTAGCTCCAGCTCCTCCAGCTCCAGCGCCACCAGCCCAAGTGCCTCCAGCCCCAGCAGCTCCAGGCTCAGTAGGGTCTCCAGCTCCAGCACCCCCAACACCACTAGTTCCGGCAGCTCCAATACCCTTGGTACGAGCACCTCCAGGACCAGCAGCCGCAGTACCTCCAGTACCACCAGCTCCAGCAGTAACTCCAGCACCTCCAGCTCCAGCGTCTCCAGCGCCTCCAGCTCCGGTAGCTCCACTCCAAAGGTGTGCGCGCCAAACAAGCCACTCACGCAGCTGCTGCGGAGAGAGTGGCTCCGGCCGGGGAGACAGCCACGGCGAAACCCCTACAGGACCTCCAGACGAAGCAGCACCCCAAGGCTCAGCACCCCCAGACTCCGCACCCTCAGACTCCGCACCCCCAGGCTCAACACCCTCTGGCTCAACAACCGCTGGCTCCACGCCCGCAGGCTCAGCACCCCCAGGCTCCGCACCCCCAGGCTTAGCACCCCCAAACCCAGCCCCCTCAGACTCAGCGCCCCTATGCTCTGCACCCCCAGACTCAGCACCCCCAGTCGCAGTACCTCGAGCAGCACCTTAGTCGCCAGCTACCTCAACAGGCAAAGTACTAAAAGAGAGGGTCTACCTGAGACACACCTGAGGGAGCAGAACCTTGGGGCGGGAGGGGGTCAATCAGAGGGGGACCAGGAGTAAGGAAGAGCGGCGGGGGCGGGGGAGGGGCAGAGCGGTAGGGGAAGAGACGGTAAAAGGGAGCCGACTGGTCAAACGTGACATGGCGCGAGGTGGGGTGGTAAAACTGCCAGCCAGGCGCGTCAGGGGCAAAGCCAAGGAAGACACAAGGGATAGTACGGGCGGAGAGCTTGTCCGCGGACGTATCGCGAACAAAGGCACGAGAGCCCCAGACCCGGAACACTGACACATCGCCAACCTGCCCCGTCCAACGCAATGTGGGCAAGGTCTCCGGCAAGGAGACACGGGGCAAGAGGTTGAGTTAATGTGCTGCGTACCAGACCGCAAACGGCCAC